TTAAATGGTTATTTTTTTCCTTTCCACCTGTCAGAAGCATAAGGGGACCTTTCTCCTATCTTCCCAATAAGAATTAGGAAGTGCCCCTATAGGCAAAACTCACAAAAGTGTGGGGTGCCCTTAATATTAGGTCCCATGGAGTTTTTAACTCTCAGGATAGTTCATAATGGGCCTCCAGGAATTCATATATTACAATTTAAGTGTTTCTACTGGTACTGGCTTTTGTTCTTGAGGATCTGATCCTAATACACTGTAATTCTCAATATTTGCCTTTCTCAAGCTTCTGAGGGCAGGAGTTTGCCCTGTGGCTTCTGTTATCTGGTGGATATGAGAAATGTTGATGATTTTCCATTTGTGTAGCCTTTTTCTTGTTGTAAGAATGGGAGTAACAATTTCTAAACTCTTGCTGATATTAATTTTTAATACTAGGATAAAAGTAAATAAATTTTTTGAAGTGATTTCTGTCACCTAAGTTAGTTTCTTTTGTTATTTTATTTTTTCCAGTGTTCGCTATACATATAACTTGCCTTAAATGTTAATACTAGAATCCCTTTGGCTACCCACCTCTACATGGATGTATGCATATGTCCAAACTCTTCAAATTGTATACATTAAATATGTGCGGTATGCCAATTATGCTTCAGTAAAGCTGTTAAAGATACATTCAAAATACACATACCTCTCCCCCCAGAAATATCAGTCCTTGGAATGAGATACTTCTAAGTTAATTTGAAATATATCTCAGGATTCCATCACCTGGATCCTCTACTCTGAAACCAGTCTTTGTAGTGTCTCTTTATCACACATTCTGAAAAAACCTGCTCCCATCTTCTCTTTTTCTTTTTGACTAGGCAGAGTTTTCTCAAGCTTTTTCTAGCTAATTTAGTCAACAATATTCTCTTTCTTCTCTGAAATCCTCTTGTAAGGATGACTGCACCACCCTGCTTTATTTACCTCATTATTTTTATTTATTTTTTTTCAACTGTGTAGATCATATCTCCTCATGTAGCCCTTTATATTCAGATGTCCCTTCTGAGGGGACATTTCAAATCTAGCAAACCACTCAGATGTCCCCTCTCAGGGAATATAAAGAGATTGCTGGTGATTAAGCAGGACAAACTTATGCAAATTAAAATTTTTCAAAATGTTTGTTTCCTTGAAGTTTTCCATTCAATCAGTGGTGCAGACACTTCTTTGTTAGAGAAGATAGTGATAAAGAGTGTTTGTATAAGAAAGGCAGCCGTGGGTATACCCTTTGTATCATATGGCATAACTTGAAAAGATAGATAAGCAAGTTGCTATAGCCTTAAAAGAAAGAGACTTTTGAAGTTGAAGACAGATTGTATTGAAGTATAGAGCACCACAGATCGAATATATCTATCTGCCCTAAGTTGGAAAAGTACATTTTGAAAAATAATATGTCTTTGATAAATTTCATTTGTGGTTTTGTAATTTATAATTAGAAATTATTTATCCATTTATTTATTTTGCAAAACAATGACAAAATGAAAAGACAAAAGTGAGAGTTATATATAAGCACCAGCAAAGATGAGTTAGATTTAGACTTTTATACAAATAAGTTAGAAAAATAAATATTGATGTGGAAGAAACTGATAGTAGTGATAGTGGTATCATCCCATCAAGAAGAAAATGTGTGAATGCAATAGAAAATGATAGCAATGAAAGTGTTAGTAGTTTCCAAGCAGTAGAAGACAGCATATCATCAAGTGAAGAATGGGAAGATGTTACCAAAAAAGACAATCCTCCAGTGAGAATAAATTTTGTTGTACATGGTCAAACAACAGTACCACAAATAGCAAATAATATAAGAGAACAGATTGACTGTATTTTACAATGTATATTACAATTTATATTACTCTGTATTTTATAAATGAATTAGTGTAATAAAAGAAACAAATCGTTATGCAGATGAAAAAATAGGAAAAACAGCTATCACACAAATTGATTTGGCATAAGTGACATGACGTTGACTGACAGGAATTTTTAGCTTTTATCATAGTTATCTCAATGTGGGAGGAAGAAAATGAGACTTCATTGTCTGCTCGAATACAAAAACACCAGATGGAAGACATCAAACAAATTACGATTGCACAACATGTATCAATAAACCTGCAATGCATATCAGTGACAGTTTCACACATTACCACACATTAGAAAAATATAGAATATAAAATGTTGATGGTTTTGTCATAAACATGTTTCTTATTGTTCAAAATTCCATTATAGGCCAAATATCATTACAATAAAATAATTGGTTCCAATACTATATTATTTAATATGCAGTGATGCATTTTTCACTATTTCATTAAAAAGTGCAGTAGAGTTACTGGTAGGTGATCTGTGAGATGTCTCCGAGTGCAAAGGGTTAATTAAATATTAAGGGAACAGACCATTTAATGTTTGCATTTTTCTTACACCATATATCTAGCCCAGAGCTAGGCACTTATTAATTATTGGCAAAGAATCATTGATGAATTGTTATATATCAATATTTGCTGTGAAAAAATAGGACTGCTCTGCAGAGTGATTTGTAGATATGAAAACCAACCTACTCTTTAATTTTCAAAAAGCAAGTCACCTCTAGATTTTTCAAGAGCTGATAATTAAGATACCTCATATATATTAATAGATGAACCAAGGATCATTTTTCATATCCTCTCTCCAGATTCTTTGTGTAGCCTGTGAAGAGCTGTTTTTGGAAACTGCATTAGAAATGAAGAAGGAAGGGCTTGGTCGAGAGAAACAGGATCAGCTTTCTGCCCTGTGCATGACAGAGGCTATGGTTGCTCTCCATGTGAAGTATTAAATCAAACTGAATTTTTGGTGCTTGAGCAGCTTCTAGAACTACAGGGAGTTCTTCCACAGCAGGCCACACAGAGCTGAAAGAATTGAATGTGGTGGGATTTTTCAATAGCACAGAGAAAATGGAGGGAGAAAAGTCATTGTAAACCATGATGACTGTAAATTCCCAGCCTTGCTGTTGTTGCTGTTATTGTTGTTTGTTAGGTACATGTTTGAAGAGAAGAGAGAATGGCAAAGTACCGTTTTAGTCAGGAAGAAAATTAATAGATGTGGTCTCCAAAATCAGTTAAGAAAATTATTGCTCTTGTCTGATTCAGTGATGGTACATAAATGTAAAGGGCTTCATATTTTAGCATGGGAGAGTTTTAGAATCTAGGAACTCTGTTCCACCAACCCAACTTTAAACCCTTCCTGCTTTTAAATGGGAGCCAGAAGAGATTAAACCAAGCCCATCTTAAGTGCCAACAAATGTAAATCTTTTTGGAGAAGCCAAAATACAATCTACCTTTAGATAATGAAATGTTTATGTTTAATAATATTCCATTGTTTGTGCAGAGTGCTATTTACATCTCAAATCACTTTAATCCATCTTACTCTCACAACAAAGTTAAGGTAAGTATGGTAGTGTTTTCCCTATTTAAAGATGAGTTAAATTGAGGCACCATCGAGTTAATGACTTTGTAAGAATGCAGCTTGAGCTTGTAAGTGGCAGGCCTGGTACTTAGAGCCCAGTTTTCTTTGTGCTCAGAGAAACTGAGCACAGAGTGAATACTTTTCCAATTTTATGCTTGATGTCAATAAATCATAGGGGCATTCCTTGCATTTAGAACCAGATGTCCAAAAAAAGATGAGAATTACTTCCATTTCCTAATTTTCCATGTAAAATGGTTCATGCTTTCATATATATCATATATATATAATTAATAGATAACATATATTTAAGAAATTATGAACTTTGCAGCAACTTGGATGGATTTGGAGTCTATAATACTCAGTGATCTATCACAGGAACTAAGAACAGAGTACCACATGTTGTCACTCATAAGCAGACCCTGAACATATAAGAATACATGTAAAAAGAATTTGGCAGTAGTGGGAAACTGCCAGGGAAGGGGGGACACATAACATCAATAAGTGTACCTGATCTCAAACCAGGCAAAGTGGGGATCAAAGTAAGGCCCAAACTTTACCTGTACGATGACCGCTTATGTACCTAATCCTAAATTGCACCCCACATTTTTTAAATTTAAAAAATAGATTAAAGATAAAGAACCTACCCTAGAACTTAACTGCAGGTTTGCCACCATGTAGACTCGTGATTTATTCCTTCTTTGTCCAAAGTCAGGAGACATAAAAGTCATGAGGGTACCCACTTTTATCCCACCTAGAAGGTAGCTGGTAATTGGTGAAAATATAACTCTCCAAAGAAAAAGGAGGTGCATGCCTTGGGAAAGAATCCTAGCAATTCAACCCCTCTGTGAATAACACCTGTTTCTGGCCATTCAAGTCCATTTGCAGCTAAAAAGGAAGGAAGGAAGGAAGGAGAAAAGAAAAAAGAGGGAGGGAGGGAAGGAGGGAGGGAGGACGAGCAGGACTAGAAGAAAACGTCACAAGGGACTTCTGTGAGAGCAGAAAACAGCAAGACAAATAATGAGCAATATCAGGATAAATCAGGGTTATGGGCATCTTGTCATCATTAGGAGATTAGGGCTCAGGACACATGACTGCACTGGATAAAAGCCACAAGAAGAGCAGAGAATAGGCTTAGCGCTGATATGTGAAAATACAAGGCCACTAACCATCTCTTGCACAAAACCTATACTGCCACAGATTTCTCCCTTCATGCCATGGTGCAAAAATCCAATTAGTTTTTTAAACTCAATGTTTCTTCCTTTTTGCCACACAAATAATGTTGACTTCACTTATCAAAGCCTAGTGGCATGTTAATGTTTCATTTTACTGAGTGAATTACTCACTTCTTTTCTTTTCCATCTGACCTTCATGTCAAGAGCCTCTTTTGTATTTTCTTGCTGGAGGTCCAACCTACATATACATCCAGCCAGGACTCTTCATAATCCCCAGAGACCTGTGTGATATGTGTAATCATCTGTAGTATTTGCATGGTTGCTTTCTTCCCAATCAAGTCAATTCAACCAAGAATACTGTCTTCATTTCAGGCTCCTTAAAGAACATCTTGGAGAAAAAGAAGTTGAGTTGGCACTCATTTTTGATTCAGTGGTGGAAGCTGACCTGGCAAATTATACCTGCCATGTTGAAAACCGAAATGGACGAAAACATGCCAGTGTTCTGCTGCGTAAAAAGGGTATTTATTTTAATAACTATGACTCTGGTTTGTTTCGCTATCTATAACTATCAAAGTTAGATATATTTTCTGGCCTTATTTTATCATTTAGTTTAAACATCTATTAACCATTTTGTCTTTTTAAGGAAAAAATCTCTTTTGCTGTTCATATTAGTATAAAATGCCTATGACATTCAACAATATCAGGAAGTGAATATATAAAATGAAGTACTGTCATGTTTAAATTCAGTGAGATAAAGTATACCTTGGCTATAAGTGTTATGTAAAATTTGATATATATTGACATTTAGTATTTTCTCCATATTTTGCCTTCCTACATCTTATATTGCTTAAATGAAATGCAAGATATTTATTATTGTATGAGAAACAAAGTTGCTTTTTTATTTCATAATCTAAAATAAAATTAATAGCCGGACTCAGTGGCTCAGCCTGTAATCCCGTGCCTTTGGGAGGCTGAGGTGAGTGGATTGCCTGAGCCCGCGGGTTCGAGACCCGCCTGGGCAGCGAGACCTCATCTCTACAATAAATCAAAAAAATCAGCCGGGCGTGGTAGCACATGCCTGTAATTCCAGCTACTTGGAAGGCTGAGGCGGAAGGATCGCCGGAGCCCAGCAGGTCGAGGCTGCGGTGGCCGGGAGCAGCCACTGCACTCCAGTCTGGGCGACAGAGTAAGAGTCCAACTCAAAAATAAATAAATAAATTAATTTAAATTTAATTAATAATGCCATATAGTATTATTACCATTGTTATCATAAAGATTATAAACTATATTTTGTGATATGATCTGATATTAAGAGGCCTTTATCTTAAAGATGTGAATATCTCTCTTTAGAGTTGGCTGCAAATGGGGTGGAACTTACATAAAATGAGCAAGGAAAAGAAACTCTAAATTTAAAGATAAAGGGGATAAAAACTGGCATAGAAACAACAACATCAGCAGCAATGTAGCTTCTGAATTGGCTGTTACTTTGTCATGACTCTTTATTACAACAAAACACTAAATACTTTTTTGTATGTGTACATCTGGCAAAGGTTTTAAAAATGTAGTGGAACAAATGTTCTCAAGCAGTGTTCTTCTTGCCTAGGCTATAGACCATAGAACAAATTCAGTTAGCAAGGTCAGTAGTTGTACTTACTAGTCAGGAAAGAATCTATATTTTACAGCCAGGCCTAACACTTGACCGTGACCAGTAGCTCTAGAAGGGGCAGGGAAGTGTCATTATTCTGAAAATAATGCTTTTATCTCTCTAGTGCCACTTCTTACTCTATTGGACTTCATTCTGTCTTAAAATAAAGGAGTATTTAAGTATAAAGAAGTCTCATATTAAAAGTGAAGTCAGAAGACGCAGGTTCAGGAGCTTATGATTCAGTCACATGGTTCAGTAGGACTTGTCTGATTAGACTCTCTGAAACTGTTTCCTCATTTGTAAAATAGGGTTGATAATATCTACCTTGCAGAGTCACTTTGAGGTTCAAATGATAATTATATAGTAGATGAAAAATATGTAATGCTCAAACAGTGTTTGTTATACTAAGCTTGGATAATTCATCCTATGCACTAGGAAATCACTTAGTCCACCTACATGAAGATCGTGCTCAAATATCTTGTGGCAAAGATCACTTTGTTCCCTGTTCATCTTAGCCTTATTTCTGGCTCATAGATCCTCCAAGTCAGAGCCTACTACTGTACCTCTGTATCTTCAGGAACTTGGGCAGTGTCTAGCCACTAATAGCCACTTAGGACTCATTCTGGTCAAATGAATAATTAAAGTTATCTTTTATTTTTGAGGACTTAGGTGCAGCAAGCACTATGCTGGGTCCTGTGGAATAAAGTGCTGTTCAATAAGACAAACATACCCAAGTTGTCTTAGAGCTTATAGTCTTTGGAGTGATGAGAATGCAAAGAAAAACAAACAGGCTGGATGTGGCGGCTCACACCTGTAATCCCAGCACTTTGGGAGACTGAGGAAGTAGGATTGCTCAAACTCAGGAGTTTGAGACAGCATAGCCAACATAGCGAGATCTCGTCACTACAAAAAATAAAAATAAATTACCTGGGCATGGTAGTGTGCACCTATAGTCCCAGCTACTCAGGAGGCTGAACTGGGAGGATCATTAAGCCTGGGAGGTTGAGGCTGCAATCAGCTGTGGTGATCATGCCACTACACTCCAGCCTGGGCAACAGAGTGAAACCTCAACTCAAAAATAAGTAAGTAAATAAATAAATAACATTAAACAAACAAACAAAAAACTACACAAGTCTATACAGTGTTAACAATTAAAAACCTGCTATGAGGAAAACTAATGGCAGTCCTACCAATCTGCCAATGTAGACAGAATAGCCTTATTTGAGTTTTAAAATAAATCCATTCTCTTTAATAAGTAAAGCAATAACCAGTAGTCCTTAAAATTTCTAAAAATCTTATGCTAGAAACCAAGACATTATAAAACTCTGCTACCTCATATGGATTTTACAAGGAAACTTGTCTAAATCATGAATAACTAGAAATATCAATTATCTTTCTGATATTTAAATATTGGCATCCCCCAAGATCCAAGTTCCTTCTTCTCATTCACTCACTAGGTAATTTCATTCAGTCTCCATCTCATGGTTTTGCTTACCATTTATATGCTGACAATTTCCAGATTTATATCTCTAGCCTGGGCTTCTCACCTGAACTCCAGACTGGTGTACTAAATTGCCTATTCAACAGCTCAGTTTAGAAATCTAGTAGGAATATCGAGGTTAGTTCATTCTAAACAGGATTCCTAATTTCTCCTCCTACAAACCTGCTCCTGCAGCCTCCTTTTTCATTTCAATCACCATCCTTCCACTTACTCAGTCCAAATTCATTGGAGTCATCCTTAACTTTTTTCCCCTGTTCACACCCTATATCTAGTCCACCAGCAAATGCTATGGCTCTACTTTCAAAGCCTATTCAGACTCTGAGCACTTCCCCCACCTTCACTACCCCCACCCTCATTTGAGCCACCAGCACCAATTGCCTGGACCATGGCAACAGCCTCTTAATGGGTCTCCCTGTTTCCACCCTTGTCTTCTCACAGTCTAGTCTTATCACAGCAGCCAAAAGGGTAATTTTAAATATGTCAGGTCATGTTATTCCCTTTTTTTTTTTTTTTTTTTTTTGAGTTGGAATCTCACTCTGTCACCCAGACTGGAGTGCTGTGGTGGTGGCTCCCGGCCACCGCAGCCTCGACCTGCTGGGCTCCGGCGATCCTTCCGCCTCAGCTTTCCGAGTAGCCGGAATTACAGGCACACGCTACCACAACCGGCTGATTTTTTTTTTTTTTTTTTTTGTAGAGATAACGTCTTGCCAAGTTGCCCAGGAGGGTCTTAAACCCATGGGCTCAGGCAATCCACTCACCTCAGCCTCCCAAAGCATGGGATTACAGGCTGAGCCAGTTATTCCTTTGATCAGAACCTTCCAATCACAAATCCCTCTCTCCTACACTTTGAATGAAATCCCAAACCTTACCATATCCTATAAAACACTACACGATCTGTTCTTCTGATCTCAATTTCTACCACAATTTGCCTCAAACATTATACACAATAGCCTCCTTTCTATTGCTCATGTTCACCAAGCACAGTCCTGCCTCAGGTCCTTTGTATTTGCTATTTTCTCTATCTAGAACATTCTTTCCCTAGCTGTCTCTATGACTCCCTCCCTCCCTTCATACAGGGTTTTGCTTAATTAATACCATCTTGATACACCTTTCCTGGCCACCCTATATAAAAAGTATTATCCACCATTTCCTTTCACCTCTAACTTGGCTCTATTTTTATTGTATCTACAGCTATTTGATATTGCATTACATATTTGTTTGCTTCTTGTCTCCTTTCCCCCACTAGAACATAAGGTCCATCAGAACAGATACTTTTCCTGCCTTATTTACTGCTACTTCCCTAGTGTATAAAACATAATAAGCACTCAAAAATATTTGTTGGTTGAAAATTCCCCTCATAGAGAGCCAGCATAATAGGGTAAGGGAATAATAACAGGGATTGGTAAAGAGAAGATTTGATCTGTGATCTTGTCTTGACCAGTGTCTGCCTCTGGTTACCTAAATGTATTTTATCTTTTCAAAATTTTTTACATTCCAGAAGTGGAGTACTTGAAGACCTCAGGGCCCAGGCAGATGTTGAATTTTTTTTTTTTTTTTTTTTTTTTTTTTTTTTTG